AATGAGGAATGAAGGATTGAGGAATGGGGATGGGGATGAGGATGGCTGGATGGGCATGAGATGAGGCATGAGGATGGGGATGAAGAACTGGGGATGGAGATTGAAGGATGAGATGAGGCATGCAGGCCCCGTATCACCAACAAATGGTGAGATGAGGATGAGGATGGGGATGAGGATGAGGATTGAGGATGATGATGGGGATGGGGCATCGACGGATGGGCGATGATTGAGGATGGAATGAGGGATGAGGATGGGATGAGGGGAATGAGGATGGGATGAGGATGCGGATAGAGGATCTGTGGAATAGAGGATGGGATGAGGAAGTATTGAGGATGGGAATGAGCATGCACCTGAGGCTGGAATAGAGCGGCATGATGAATAGGGGATGGGCAGTGGATGAATGCGGCACCGAATGTGTGTGCGCTCTCAAACCTGTGCGTCGCAGTGTAGATGCTATGGCACATGTTTGGTGCGTTGCCGGTGTGGCGGGGGACGTCGTCTTACGCTTCGAACCGGGCACTGCCACTTCGCAGTGGGAAGTCAGGGCTGTGTTCGGCATCAGGTTGACGACGTCGCGTTGGTTCTCACACGGCATCGGCCGCGCAGTAAGTCATAGGTGTCCAATACAGCAGACGTCCTATTAAAGAGCAACTGTCACAGCGACATATTGCTCGCGCATTTCGCAGTTCTCTCTCTCTCTCGTCTCTCTCTCTCTCTCTCTCTCTCTATCTCTCTCTCCTTCTCTCTCTCTTCTCTCTCCTCTCGCTCTCTCTCTCTCTTCTGCTCTCTTATCTCTCTCTCTCTCTTCCTTATACTCTCTCTCATCTCGCGTCTCTCTCCTCTCTGCTTAACTGGTCTGTGCGTGATTGTCTGGTCTGTACTGTCTGTGTGTCGTGTCCTAGTTGTCTGTCATTTGTCTCTCTCTCTCTCGTGCTAGGATGTTCTTCTCTGCTTCTCTCTGTGTCTCTTTCTGTGCTCTTCCTCTCCGTCTCTGCATTCTGCTTCTTTATCTCTCTCTTCTCTTCCTCTCTCGTGTCGCGTGCATCTCTATCTCGGTGTTCTATATTTAATAAAATAACAATATAAATGATTATGACAGGTGATACTAATGTGTACTGTATGAGATTAGAGGTAAAATTATATAGTAAGGATATTAGAATGATATTATGCACGAGTACATAATAGGCAGTGGTAAATAATATCTATTACTGTATGTATGAGTCAGGTCATACTTCGTGTTTCGGAAACTATCCGTGTAAATATTACTCCAACAGAGGTGTTAGCAGTGAGTTAATGATGTGGATTGTGTGCACCTCCATAACGGTGGCTACCTCGCAATCCTTGTCCACCTTCTCGTCCGTCCTCGCCGAACCACTCGCATAGAGGTGACAAGTGCGTGACAGTGTGTTGAGTGTCACCAACATAACTCGCAGATCCTTGCCCTCGTATAATGGGCCTGAATAAGTTGTGACAGTGCGCGTGGACAGCTGTGTTGAAGTGTCACCAATCTACCTCGCAATCTTCTCGCCCTCGTAAGATGTAGACACTCGAATTTAGGTTGACATGTGTTCGTGGACAGTGCTGTGAAGTGTCACCAGACCTTACCTTCGCAATTGCCTTGCCTGAGATATGAGACACTCGCACTAGGCTCGACAGTGCGGGACATCCCGACGGTGACAGTGTGTGAAGTGTCACCAACCTACCTCGCAATCCTTGCCCTCGTAATGAGGCACTCGCATAGGTGACAGTGCGTGACAGTGTGTGAAGTGTCACCAACCTACCTCGCAATCCTTGCCCTCGTAATCCCGGTGCACAGACGCACGTGTAGTCGTTGATCTCGTTCTTACACGTCGCTCCGTTCTCGCACGGGTTCGGGTCGCAGTTGTTGATGATGGTCGAACAGTCCTTATCTGCGGCGGGCGAAGCAGGTGACAGGTGTGACACAGCGGTAAGCAGACGACAGCGTCATTGAGGGTGGTGACACATGGGTCCTCTCTCTCTCTTTCTCTCTCTCTCTCTCTCTCTCTCTCTCTCTCTCTCTC